ATTCAGCCCTCTGGAGGAGGCAGCAATAAGGTTGGCACAGGTGAACACCTGCCAAAGAAGCTGGCCAGCAGCGGGTCCATCAGTGACAGACAGATGCATGCCTTGACAAACTGCATTCTTAGCTTGTTCCTCATCCTTATACATAGGGTGTGCAGGGACTTAGGCAAGATCATTTTCTAAGGATTAGCCACATTTGTGGAGGGTGATTATTTCAACGGCTCACAACCATAGTACCTAAATATAGTATCCATGTTCAAGAGTAAAAAGGTAAAGGTAAAGGACCCCTGACAGTTAAGTCCAGTCGCAGATGACTCTGCGGTTGCGGCACTCATCTCGCTTTACAGGCTGAGGGAGCCGGCGTTTGCCCGCAGACAGTTTTTCTGGGTCATGTGGCCAGCATGACTAAGCCACTTCTGGTGCAACGGAGCACCGAAACCAGAGTAGTGCACGGAAATGCCATTTACCTTCCCACCGGAGCGGTACCTATTTATCTACTTGCACTTTTGGGGCGTGCTTTCTGTTAAGTTGTGGGTGAACACAGTGATTCTTCAAACAGCTCTTGTTTATTCACAGGCCAGAACAGAACTGAACTGAAGGGTTCAGCCAGCCTGCTTATATAGAGCTCCACTACAACACAGCAGTAACCACTTTCTGTAACTATCCAATCACTGAACGTCACTTTCAATTCCTTATTTGCATATGTGGACCTGAGTGAAAACTATCTACAGTATCCCCCTGCTGGCCCAGGGTGAGAACTTCAGTACATAACACTTTCGAACTGCTAGGTTGGCAGGAAATGGGACTGAGCAACAGGAGCTCAGCCCATCGTGGGGATTCAAACCGCTGACCTTCCAATCGGCAAGCCCAAGAGGCTCAGTGGTTTAGACCACAGTGCCACCTGCGTCCACTGTTCAAGGGTAGCATACTTCAAATTAGCATATCCTGGAAAGTGGTGGCCATTATCTTCATGTCCACCTTGTGAACTTCCCTGTTGTCATAAGCAGAAGATTGTATGCTCCTTGTATGCTGCTGCTGTCCTGACAACAACTGGATGGACCATTGATTTGACCCAGTAAGGCAGTGAAGGAATCTGAACCACACACCTTATTTATTCCTTCCTACAGAACTTGGTACTCTCTGTAGTAGAATATTTCTTGGTTGTGTTTTCAGTAAACCACATCCTTTGCAAAACAAAAAGCCCAAGCCTAAACTGTGCTTCTGATGAACCCCTTGTGGGAACAAACCCATAGTAGGTTGCTGCAACCCTCTCGGAACAAAAAGCAGATCATAATGAAGGGAGCCAGGAGCCCTGTAAAGAAGACATTTTCTATTTCTCATTTATCCATTCTATGTGTGTGGCTCATTATAGCACCACCTAACCTGCTCTCTCCACACATCACACGGCTTTTGTGCATAGTAGCTCAGAATTCACACATGCCATAAAGGTACCCCTGCCCATACGGGCCAGTCTTGACAGACTCTAGGGTTGTGCGCCCATCTCACTTAAGAGGCCGAGGGCCAGCGCTGTCCGGAGACACTTCCGGTCATGTGGCCAGCGTGACAAAGCTGCATCTGGCGAGCCAGCACAGCACACGGAAACGCCGTTTACCTTCCCGCCAGTAAGCGGTCCCTATTTATCTACTTGCACCCGGGGGTGCTTTCGAACTGCTAGGTTGGCAGGCGCTGGGACCGAGCAACGGGAGCGCACCCCGCCGTGGGGATTCGAACCGCCGACCTTTCGATCGGCAAGCCCTAGGCGCTGAGGTTTTTACCCACAGCGCCACCCGCGTCCCTTAGCGCCCACACATGCCATGAAACACTGCAATTATGATCTCCCAGGAGCTGGGTTTTTAAAAAAACAAATGGAGGGGGAGCAGAGGCAATGATGCTGTCAGCTATTTGCAGATTGTGACTCTTTGTGTATATGTTGCAAAGCGATGAAATCCACAACAAACACCCAAATTCACCTAGTCTGTGTAAACTGTCCTGGAAACTCTGAATTCCAACCTAAAAAAGAAAGCAAAGAATGGATATTTGCAAATATTGTAAGTGTTTATTTTCCAAATCTCATTCTTTAAACACACCCAGTTACAATAGCATAACTATAATATGAACAGCTGTATTGTAAAAAAGAAAAAGAAAAAAAGAAATTCTTCTCAATCTAGAAATAAAAATATATAAGACATAGACACAAAGAGCAGCAATACTAAGACATCTTTAGGACGGTAAATAAATGGTGTATCCATAAAGAATGGAATGTGGAAAATAGATAATGGTCACATCTGAATATTTTGCAGGGAAACTGTGAGTGCCCCCATTTTTAGGCTCGTAGGTTCTGAAAGCCTGGCTTCCCAGGGTCTCTGGATACCAAAGATCTCTGGCTGCCCAAGTGTGCTTGACAGCTTATTTAAAACAAAAGACTGCTTGCACATAAGATTTGCAAGCAAAATAATCATCTCTTTCCCCCACCCCTCACACACACACACACACCCAGTAATATGTTGGAGCAGAATAGATTGCAAAACTTAGGGGGGAAATACTCTGCACACTGTGATGCTCTCTGACAAGACTGTGACAACAAACATTTTGTCCTCATTAGGGCCTCCGCATAAAAGCACCCTGGCTCTGATCCAATCCTGACTGTACGTCGCTGGAACCCAGTTTCACCACACACTACTCTGTAGCATAAGGGAACATCATCTCCGTGCTGCACATCCCCTTTCTTCCCTGCACCCCAAATTCCTCCTCCTCCTCTTCCTCTTAGCAAGAGGCCTTCACCCTGGGGGAGAAGCTGGCTTTTGCGCATCTAAACTGCTGGTGAGGTTTTGCATCTGTACCGCACAAGACCTCCTCCCATTTTTTGGCTCCTAGTAAATCTCTTTTCCTGGGAGGGCCAGAGAGACCTGAGGTTATTCTTCTTCCTCCTTTGTCAGATGTGGCTTGGGATTTATGCTGCCTGCCTTTTAATCTTGAGCCAGTCTGCTCTTCTCCAAGCCCCAGCCCATATAAATATGGACCTTAGATGACCTCCTCGTAGTCACAGCGTGTGTGTGTGTGGCAAGGAGCTGGCGGCAGAGTCTGCGACAAAGAGACCAGGCTTGCCTTTTGCTCTTCTGCCTCTCAAACAGTGCTTAATGAATGGTTTGGAGCATGCTTAACTGCTTCCCGCATCAGCAATTAATTCCTTAAGGTGGGACATTCCAATCACCGGGGTCACACAGCCATCTACTAACCAAGTGGTTCTGGAGAGAGTCTGCCGATATGATGGCTCAAATATTTCAGACAAGAAAGGTGAGTCTACACTCTGGTGTCCAAGCAGCAGACCCAGGAAATGGTTACATTCTTACATGGTTTTGAAAATTGGAGAAATAGCCATTATTACTTCTTTGCCCCCTGATACAACCTGAAATCTGCTTTGCACCTGAAAAAGTCCGATCTAATTAAATCTGCCTAACAATACTTCCTACACTCTGTCTTAAAACTGTCAAACTGTACATCATAAAAACATAGAAACATAGAATTGCAGAGTTGGAAGGAATCCTGAGGACCATCTCGTCCAACCCCCTGCAATGCAGGAATATGCAGCTGTCCCATACGAGGATCAAATCTGTTGGTTATCAGCACCACGCTCTAACCAACTGAGCTACTGAACATGGTGATGATGCTGATTAATCTCCAACATCGGGCCCAGATTTTTTTCCTCTGCCCTCTTTCCCAGTCACTGTTTTGCTTAACATCCAGACTGATGAAGAGTTCTGGAGCTCAAAAGTTCACTCACAAATGTACAACATTTTACGTGGTCCTAAGATAGGTATTGGAGGGACGCGGGTGGCGCTGTGGGTTAAACCACAGAGCCTAGGACTTGCCGATCAGAAGGTCAGCAGTTTGAATCCCCGCAACGGGGTGAGCTCTCGTTGCTCAGTCCCTGCTCCTGCCAACCTAGCAGTTCGAAAGCACATCAAAGTGCAAGTAGATAAATAGGTACCACTCCGGCAGGAAGGTAAACAGTGTTTCTGGTCCGCCAGAAGCGGCTTAGTCATGCTGGCCACATGACCCGGAAGCTGAACACCTGCTCCCTTGGCCAATAAAGCGAGATGAGCGCCGCAACCCCAGAGTCGGCCATGACTGGACCTAATGGTCAGGGGTCCCTTTACCTTTAAGATGGGTATGTGGCTTTGGGGCTTGTTTGTTTTTCTACTGGACCAATGCACTGTCTATAATTTTTGGGGACGAACCAGGATCCAGCAACCACCCTGTGTTTTGCTCTGGGGTGTTGAGCTGCTGTGCCAAATTCCTCAATAACAGAAGCTAGAGAACCTGCCTTAAATCACCCCCTTTGCCTTGAAAACTCTTGCCAGAGAGCAGTGTTAGTAAATGACAGGAGGGTAAAGGGCATGCCCAGCTCAACAGTTGCACCCTCAATGACTCAGAATGACTCAGGTTACATCCCCTGTGCACAGTTTTCAGGCACTCTGCCCTGGTCCCAAGCAGATGGCCACACCTCTTGTATCTGTGAATCCCAAATGCTCATTATTATTCTCCTTTATTTATTGTTATGTTTATACCCCACCTTTACATATTCCAAGGAGCTCAAGAAGGTGTACACAGTGGCACTGTGGCCTAAACCAACAAGCCTTTTGGGCTTGCTGATCAGAAGGTTGGTGGTTCAAATCCCCATGATGGGTGAGCTCCAGTTGCTCTGTCCCAGCTCCTGCCAACCTAGCAGTTTGAAAGCACGCCAGTGCAAGTAGATAAATAGGTACCACTGTGGCGGGAAGGTGAATGATGTTTCTGTGCACTCTGGCTTCTGCCACTGTGTTCTGTTGCACCAGAAATGGTTTAGTCATACTGGCTACTTGACCTGGAAAGCTGTCTGTGGACAAACGCCGGCTTCCTTGGCCTGAAAGCAAGATGAGCGCTACACCCCAGGGGTCCTTTACCTTTACTTTTACCTGCAGCTGAGAGACAGTGACTGGCCCAAACTCACCCAGTGAGCTTCATGGCCAAGTGGGGATCTGAACCCTGGTTTCTGAGGTCCTAGCCCAACACTCTGACCACTGTGCCACACTGTCTCCTTAGAAACCTCATAAAGAAGATGCTACTCCACTCCCACCTAACTCAACCTTCCCATGTCTCACATCCAACTCACATCAATCTTTGATACAGCACAGTCTTTACAAGAGATTTTAGCCACCAGATGACGTACCATATTTTTCGCTCTATAAGACGCACCAGACCACAAGACGCACCTAGTTTTTGGAGGAGGAAAACAAGAAAAAAAATATTCTGAATCTCAGAAGCCAGAACAGCAAGAGGAATCGCTGCGCAATGAAAGCAGCGATCCCTCTTGCTGTCCTGGCTTCTGGGATAGCTGCGCAGCCTGCATTCGCTCCTTAAGAGGCACACACATTTCCCCTTACTTTTTAGAAGGGAAAAAGTGAGTCTTATAGAGCAAAAAATACGGTAAATTGTCAAATGGTTGTTATTTCATTTGAATGTTCCCTTCTGAGGTGGATGTTGGCTATTTATCACTCTTGAGGAAACCCCTGGCACTGAGGGTTTAGCTTGGCATGGAGAGAAGCAGCTCTCCCCACATGAGAGTTATGTCAAATGAAATAATCACCACTTTAAATTGACATGGACCATTCACCTTGTGGTTGTTTTATTGTGCCAAAAGGAAACAGGACAATTGGTCTGGAGAGACATTCCTGGACAACAGCCAATCATAGCATGAAATAGGAGGTTTTTTTCAGGACAGGCAGCATGAGAGGTCCTCAATGTTCAGAATGTCCCAACTGGCCATTATAAGACAGTGTGGTGCACACAGTGGACAGGGAATTGATCTTTTGTGATGGGAAAGAGAAGACACCTCTTTCCAACTGAGGGGCTTGACATGTGTTCCAATGAAGTCAAGGCCTCCTTGTCTGATCCAGGCCAAGGCACACACAGACTCAGTTTCCCACATGTAAAAGGAAGACAATAGCAGCTCACAGGGTTATTTCTGCAACTAGATTGTGAATCCCTTTGCAAATCAAAGAAGCCCTGGAATGAGTGGGTCACTGTAAAACATTCCCAGCCCCTCTCTCCAGATTTTAATGCTATGCCTCTTGAGGCCTCAGCAGTTTACATTGCAAGAGAACAAATTAGGAGGTCCTGTTGCTGCTTTTGTCTTCTTCTGATGAGTCGTAATACATCTGAAAGGTGCCCTGGGTTTTTTGGGGGGGGGACCAGCATTTCCTATCTTTGAACTGTCTCCCCCCCCCCCCGCGCGCGCGCAATGCACGGGGACCTTGGGAGCTGTCACTAAAGACTCATCGCGTGCTGCTGCAGAAGATTGACAGAATCACCCTATGAAAACAAACAGTTTTCCTGTTTGGGTGCAGGAAGGCCCCCATTTTTCCTAATTAGTCCTGATGTCTTGCCCATCACAGGAATAAATATCAAATGTCCCCTAAGGGCAGCAGATGAGAAGTGCTATTTATTGCCGCTCTCAGAGGAAGTTTGACAACATGACAGGTGAAATATCAGGAATAATTAAGAAAAATAAGGCATCGTGTGTTCTTTAGCATGCCAGAGGGAGGGACTTGCTGCTAACTCTGAGCCAGAGGATTTTTTTGTGAGCCAAACGTTTCCGGATGCTAAACGCAACCTTACAATGCACAAAACCTTATCCCAGGATGGTGTCAGGCTCACAGCATCAGGTCAGTTGACAGGGATGTGGCTTGATGTAGTGGTATTTTATTCAAGAGTTAATTGAATCACATTCAGGAAAAAATTAACCTTTAAAACAGGAATAGAGAACCTTTTGCAGCCCAAAGGCTGCATTCTGCTCTGAGTGCAGTGTAGAGGCCAGAGGCATCAGCAGTACCAAGGACAGCTCCATACAGCTTCACCAAGGCAGAACTCCGATGTTGTTTCAGCACCAGCCATCCTCAGGCTGAGCCTTAAGCAGGAGTTGCAAGTCTATCACAGCTGCTAATTCCACCTTCTGTGAAAGGAGCCTTTCATTTAAAGGGTCCCAGCCTGCTTTAGAAGCCACCAACTCCTATATAACTAGAGAGCTGGTTTGAGCTTTGGGGGGAAAGTAGTATATACATGTTTGAATACATTCAAAGAAACTTGTGGATGGAGGCTGAATTGGTAATGACTGACCATGGAAAGGATTTTGTGATTGTGAGGGAATAGCTCAGCTTGGGAGGGGGGGGTCACTTAGTGTGTGGCAGCTGTGAAAAGGGAAGGTTCCATTTAGGGAATTTATCAGAAATATATCTGTGAATATTACAATACTCTTACACAAATCTGTGGCAAATCGAGGTATCTCAAAAGGGATAATACAGAGCTGGAAACAGTTCAGAAAAGAGTTAACAAAATTACCCAGAACCTGGAAAAACTCCCCGATGAGGAAAGGTTACAACATCTGGGCCATTTTAGTTTGGAAAAAGGCGCCTGAAGGCAGGGGGGAAAGATATGATAGAGGCTTGCAAAAACATTAAGGAGGCAGAAGGCTATCAATGGCTATTAATCATGACTGTTTTATGCTACCTCTAGGATACAGGGCAGCAGCCCGTCTCTGAGTAACAGTTGCTGGGGAACAAGAGTGGGAAAGGATTGATGCTGCACTCATGTTTTACTTGTGCGTTTCCCATGCGGGTATGGGAAGACCCTGTGGGATAAAAGGATGCTAGGATGCTGGATTGGGTGGGCCTTTGGTATGATCCTGCTGCAGGACCCTTCAGATTATTCCAAGTATTTCAGTCCCCTGACATTAGTAGAAAGATCCATTCATTACACACACACAAACACACACACAGAGAGAGAGAGAGAGAGAGAGAGAGAGAGAGAGAGATCTCCAGGGAGCTCAAGGCAGCATGTGTGCCTCTCCATTTATCCTCACAACAACCTTGTGAGGTAGATTGGGATTAGGTGAGAGAATGACTGTTGCAAAGGTCACTGAATGAGCACCATGGCTGACTCGTGCTTTGAACTTGACTCTTCCTGGTCCTCACCATTACACAACACTGCCTCTCAAGATCTAACCTGTGTCCATTTTGCATTGGGTAAAGTGAAAAGTGGACTGTTCAGGTTTTGTGTAACTCCAAGCCAGAGGCTGTGTTTAGGAAAGATGGATGAGAAGCATTTCATTCATCCATTTCATGTTTCAGACCATCGGTGACTATTTTTTTATGAGCTGCTATATTTCTTATTATGATGTTTAAATTGTAACTCCAACTGATGCCCTCATAATTACTTTTTGTTTTGTTTCTTTGTAATATAAGTTTGTCTATGTCTAAGTGAAGGCCTTTGAGCTTCCCTAGGAATTTCTCACTAACTGAAATTCCTTCTCCCAGTCTCCAGAACCCAACGTGACACTCTAACAGCACCAATACAAGTCAGCTACTGCTAAACTAATCAATGAGTCTAGCATGCTTGCAGAGGTCTGTGCAAAAGGCTCCCTTGACTGTAATCACATTGCAATAAAACTTGACAAAACTCTTTCCACCCTCTCTCCCCATCTCTCACAAATGCATCCACAGTTCTAGTTACAGGTAGGTAGCCGTGTTGGTCTGCCGTAGTCAAAACAAAATAAATAAATTCCTTCCAGTAGCACCTTAGAGACCAACTAAGTTTGTTATTGGTATGAGCTTTTGTGTGCATGCACACTTCTTCAGATACCTATGGATCCACACTCACCCACACCCACACAAGGAATATCTACAGGGATTTGGTGAAAAAATACAAGGCACATCTGTATACCAAACTAAGTCCATTGTCTTAGTTTGACTGTCATGGCTCGTCCCAAGAAACACCTGGTATGGCTGCAAAGAAAAAATTATCTATGGAGGACACTAGTCTGTCCCAGTGCAAGAGTTCCCAACTGGTTTATGGCTTGTAAATGTGGGGAATTGTCCTAATTGAGTCAGATGGCTACCCAAAAGAGAAGGAGATAGTCCAGGCATGATAGAGACCCATAGTCCTAGGGTTCTGGAACAGACTATAGGCTTAAGGGGAGACTAAGCATGGACCTGGGTTAAGAATCAAGATGCTGGTTCAGTACCACAGTCAGCAACCCTGCAGCTGAAGCAGAAAAAAAGTTAGTTGTCTCAGCACTTCCTAGAGAACTGCTTCAGCATGGCGGGGGAACCTGTGGCCCTCTGGATGCCCTTCTGCTCCAGCTCCCATCAACCCCAACCAGTGTGGCCAATGCACAAGGCTGATGGAAGTTGCCATCCAACAACATCTGAATGGCCATAGGTTCCCCATCTCTGAGCTTCTAGTCCAGGCTAGGTTAGTTAAAATGGAAGCGCAATATACCTATTGTATCTGGCCAGTTAAAGGGTGCATTTTCTGCAACTATTGATTTCTTCTGGGCAGCAGGATTTCAAGCTGTGGGGTCTTCTACAGAGAAGATTCTTAGGTCTTTCCTGACCACCCAAAGACTTCCTGGTTTAGCCACTGAAGCCTGGTGGCTAAGGTATCTTTCTGGGGTTCCTAGGACAAGATGCGGGCACCAGTGCCAGCAGATCCACATGGGAAGGACTGGGAAGTAGGTCTGCTTGGAGCTACTGTTGTAGGAGGGCTTTGCATTTGAAGATTCCTGGTGCAAGACCATTCCAAGAACATGTCTGGTTGTGAGGAGGGGGAAATCAGTCAAAGCTCCCAGAGTAAGTGCAGCAATGTTCACTGTAAGAAGTGAGAAGATGACGAGTGAAAAACAGATAAGTGGTTCAATGGGTCAGTGCATCTAGTTATTAGCCAGATTGGTGGTTCGAACCCACCCAGGGATGGCTGTGGAGAGGATTCCTGCATTGCAGGGAGTTGGACTAGATGACCCTCAGGGTCCTTTCAAACTCTACAAGTCTATGTTTCCAGCTGGATATTGAAGCACACCACAGAATCATAAAATGGTAGAGTTGGAAGGGAGCCCTAGGGTTATCTAGTCCAACCCCCTGCAATGCAGGAATCTCAACTAAAGCATCCATGACAGATGGCCATTCAACCATGAGTGCCAAAGGAAACACTGAGGACCTGGTGCTGGACTCAGAGCAAGTGTGTGTGTGCATTAACATG